AAGAAGAGCCTGTAATTAATGGCTTCCCCTGGACCGAGCTCGATTTCACGCCTGGGAAACGGGTGAGTGAAAACAGCCATTTCGAAATGAAATCAGTTCTTCGAGGGATGCTTGTTTGGTTTTATTTTTGGGGGGGGTTTTTTGCGTTTGTTTTGTTTTGTTTTTAAATATGGTTATTTTTATTTCCCCCTTCGCGTCCACTCCCGCCCCCCAACACCCCCTCCCATTTTCCTTTCCTTTACCCCTCCCGTGGCCACCCGTCCCCCCGACAGGCACGGCGAAAGGGGCCACGGCGCAGGTGCCGGAGCGGCGGCGGGAGGATGAACCGACAGTTTTGGCAATAGAAACCAAAATCCCCACCAACGCTGAACGCATGGCCGAGCCGGGCCCCAGGAGCGTTTCGCCGTGCCCAGGGCGCAAACCCTGATGGAGAGGGTTGGGGATGTGCGTGTGTGTGTGCGCGTGTGTGTGTGTGCGTGTGTGTGTGTGCGTGTGTGTGTGCGCGCACACGTCCTCAACTACAGCTGCAGTATTAAAAATAAAAAGGGCGAGCTTTCTGCCACGCTGAAGGTTAATGCTTTTAGGGCTGCCTAAAAATGTGCATTGCTGCTGGTGACGGTGGTGATGGTTTGTTGCTAATAATTACTATTCTTTTCGGGGAGGACTCCAAGCCCTGGAGCCGACGCTCCTGCCAGAAGAAAAAGGCACCGGTGGAAGCTCTCGCGGCCGGGGGGGGTGGCACCAGGGACCCCCAGCCTCCCACGGGGTGAGTAGCCCCCACCGTGGGCCTGTCCCGGGCAGGGGCTCCGGACCCGCGGCGTCAATTAGATTTGGAGCAATTAGGCGTTTAGCCTTGCTGGGTTTTGAGGGCATATTCTACTCGTTTGGTGTGGTCAGCCTAGGGAAGTCTGTTATTTCCCTGACGGTTTTATGCGTTATTATTATTTCTGCTATTATTGCTGCTATTATTGCTGTTAATTATTGTTGTTGTTGTTACTGTTGTTTCATAAGCCGAAATGGAAATACAAAAAAAATTTAAGTCGAATTCCCGTTCTTGGAGAAACCGACTTTTAAAAATATAAATATTGGTCTAACTAGGGTGGGAAGCACAGTTTATTAGACCCTTACTTTTCTGTAAAGAGAGTGGTGACGCTCTAGCCTTGCCGTGTCTCGGTGCCTGGTCCCGGCTCCATCCCAGTTCCCTCAGGTGTGGGATACAGGTTCTTGGCTGCTGTTTTCCTCAATGTTGTCCTTGGCTTGCTTATGGCTGTCCCATGTACTAAGACAGAATACAACGGTACAGTTTCATAAGGTGTTATGATCGCATATTGTAATTGCATGTATTTTCTATTTAAAGATATGTATAAAATATATATTCTAGGCGTCTTTATAATGAACAATCATGAATATAGACTAAATATAATGTGAGGGTTTTGTACATATTTAATTATAACATTATGTGCATATAAACTAAGTATATTACATATAAAATAATTGATAAGTAAATATGTAGGCTTAATATATAATGAGAATGGTTTTATATGTACGCATATTACGCATATTTTTATATAGATGTATTACATACATGAGTGGCGTGACTACATATTCACAGCGTGCCAACTTACACAAAATAATTATAAAGCACACATTGTATGAAAGCGTGTTGTAATAAATAACATAATCCGATAGGTTGTATAAAAGTGTATATATTATTTTTAATGCTTATGTATGAAATATCTGGCAGTCGGGCACTCGGCGGGAATGCAAAACGAAGAGAAACCTTTTTTTCGCCGGTGATTCTCCACGGGCAGCTCTGTGATGCGCCCAAGACTGGCTCTGGAGAAGGCGACCAGGCGACTCTCCCTCTGCCGCGCCTTGCTCCTTCTTCTTCTTCTTCTTCTTCTGCTCCTCTGCGTGCCCCCGAGAGGTGCAGCCCGGAGTGGGGGTACGGGAAGGAGGCAGGGTCTCCCGGCTTGCCCGCCCCGGAGCGGTCAGTGAAAGACGGATGGGCTCCCAGGTAATTAATCTACCCTTCTTCCCCCTTCTTCCTCCAGCAGCGCAGCCGTTAGAACTACTCGTTGTCACAACGACTTGTTGGTTTCTTTACCAAACGTGCCACCTCCCAGCAGCTTGGGAAAGCCTGCGGCCGAGGGCAGACGTACCGTTTTTAGTTGTTTTTTTTTTGTTTGTTTGTTTGTTTTTTTTAAAAAAAAGTTCCACGCCGCCTTCATTTTGCAGCCATCGTGATTTCTTCAAAAGCCTGTTGAACTCACAGTAACGCAGGGAAGGTCACCTGCAAGCTGGTAAAGCACCGATCACTTCGAGCGAGGGCGGCATCGGGCTTGCAGAGACACAAACCCCTCTTTTTTATTTTCTCCTCCCAGGTCCCGTGTTTACAGCCTTCCTCAGACGAGCCGCGGATGCGCAGCCGGCCCATGCACAGACATGCACAGCACCCTGCGCGGACTGTGTGAAGGTATTTGCCAAAGCCGCAAGAGCAGCAGGAAGCCCCAGTTCCCCGCTGTCCCGGCCGGTGTCACTAGCGAGAGGCAGAGATCGGCTTCAGAGCCCCTCGAGTCCCATTTGTCTTGAGTCTGAAGTTAAAACGGGGAGCAACCGACTCGGTGCCGGGAGAGCCCGCAGCCTCCCTTCCGACGGGGGAAGGGGGACCCCCGGGGAGGAGGGTAAAAAGAAAGCCCAGATGCCGTCCTGTCGAAACGCAGGGGGTTTATTGTGCCATCTCTGTGCGGGGGTTTATCCTTCATATTTATTTCTCTTCACAGTGTTTGAACTCTCTCGTGAGAACAACAACAACAAAAAATGTTGGAGGAGACACGAGACGGGACGCGGCCGGGCGTGGGGTTTCAAGTGCAGGATAAACACACATGTGCAAAATATAGTGTACAAAACCACACATGTCCCGCCGGTCCTTCGTGCATCCGAGCATGGAGAGGAGACCCGGAAATTACTGACGGCGCCTCGGTGGGCTGCTGGACTTCGTGTCTCGCCAGGCGGACGCGGGCAATAAATTAAGGGAGAGGGGTGACCCCACGGGAGGCTAGCCACGGGGCGGCGGGTGGCGCAGGTAGCGGGCCACCGCTCCGTGCGGACCCCCCGCCGCCACGTCGAGGGGCAGGAGGCCGCGGCCGTCAGGCAGGTCGAGGCGGGCCCCGGCGCGGTGCAGGGCCGCCAGCGTCTCCAGGAAGCCGGCGCGGGCCGCGTCGTGGGCCGGGAAGCAGCCGGTGCGCGGGTCGGGGCGGTTGGGGTCGGCTCCGCGCTGCAGCAGCAGCTCGGCCACCCGCGGGCTGCCCAGCATCATCACCTGCGGGGAGAGACAGCGTCAGCGCCGCCCCGCACCGCGCCTGCGGAGGGGTCGGGGGGACTGGGGGGGACTGAGGGGCCCTTCTCCTGCCGCAACCCGGCGCAGAAACCGAGGGCCGCTTTCCAACGGCCGGCGCGGAGCCATGCCGGTGGAGGGGCTCCCGTAGGGGTGCCGCCGTCCCGCTCCCCACCCGGGATGCTTTTCCAAGAGGCCCCTGGCAAGGGGGATACTCGTGTGCAGGGAAGCTGCCCTCCCCGCAGCGCGGCGCCCGCGCTTCCCTCGCCCCCAGGAGATGCTGAAAAAGCACTTTTAGGCTGACCCCCCCGCCTAGTGCAGCACCAAAACGCCCGTGAGCCCTCCCCCTCTGCCTCGCCGTCCTCTGAGCTGCGTTTCCCCCGGCGCCCTCCGCAGCGCCTTCAGCGCAGGGGCTAAATCCCTGCCGCGCAGAGGTGCAGAAAATAAACATGTCGGAGGACGGCAACAGATACATGTTTCGAGTGAAATGGTGCACCGACATTTTGCAGGAGAGAGTTTCGCAAGCTCTGGCCGTAAAACTTAAATATAGCTTGTCAGATTATCCCAGTTTCGTTTTATTTCGAAAATTTAAGAAGAAGCTGGCTAGAACTACCTCGGAAATTAACACGGCTTTATAAATCCAGTATGGACGACTCCACCGGGCACTACATCTACCTACACCTTCACGCGGCTGTAAAATGTGGGCGGACTGAGCCCCAGAGGGACTGCTAGCTGTGTACCTGCAGGATCTGCTGGGCAAGGCTAGGACACCCCGATATTTCTGATGGTAAAGCCGGTGAATACATCGTGAGAATCGGGGAACATACTTTTTCATGGGAGAGGCGAGGAAAAATACTACATAGATGCAGAAAGCAGAAAACGAGGTACGACGAAAGGGTAACTCTTTCTGAAAAGGTGACGCGTTACTTTTTATTGCACGTTTATTGCGAGATGAGCATTAAAGTTCTCGGTTTTGAGTCATCCTATCTCAGTTGGTTAAAGTAAAGTCAAGGGTTGCTAAGACTAAAACCTCTCTGTTGCGGCCGTCGCAGACTTTCGCCTTTCCAGAAAGGCGACAGGAACCGCCTCTCCGGCAGCAACCGAGCCCAGCCGTCGGGGGGCGGCCGCCGCCAGGGTGCCGTCCCGGTGCCGCTGCCGCCGCTCCTCGGGCACGGAGCGGCCGCTGTCCCTGCCCCGCCGCCCGCATCCCCTCGGGCGTCCCTACCTGGATGGGGGTCCGGCCGTAAGAATTGACGGCGTTGGGGTCCGCCGCGCCGTCCAGCAGCTCCCTCAGGCGCTGCAGGTCGCCGCGGGCCGCGGCGTTGGCCAGCTCGTCCGCCGCCGTGCCGCCCGCCCGCCCCGCCATGCCCCGT